ATTTTGAATTTTCGCTGTTGACAACATGGCTTGCGTTCAGCCATAGTTCGTGAATCAAAGGCTTGCGCCAACCTTGCGCCGTGCTTGCGCGGAGCTTGCGCGCGTAGGGTTTTTGACACATTATGTTATACTTGGTTTTCGTTTATATAAATCGTAAACAAGGGTTTTCGGACAACCCCCACATGGCAAATACACTGTCTAGCTCACAACTTGCGAGGGTCTGTCTGCTGCTCGTTGCTGCATAGGTGCCTGATGAAGAAGTGCCCTGAAACAGTCGATAAAACCAGAATGGCAACGAGCGAGTAAACAAAACAAGATTGAGCTGCGGCTGCTGCCACTGCTGCCCACCGCTGCCCACTGCTGCTGCTGCTGCTGCTGCTGCTGCTATGACGATATGCGGAGGACGAGGAGGACGGGGAGGAGGAGCAGCAGGAGGAGAGGACATCGTTCTCATCCTTTCCATCATCAATTACATTTACGGCTGTCTACAGTTACTAGTCTGCATAATCCTCCTCCGCATCATTGTGACGTTTTCGTGCAAGAGAATGGTAAACAATGGTAACATCATCAACAGGTCAATTCTAAACAGTCGGCCTCCCTGCGCCCTCGACACTTCACCGTGAATGATGAAAAAAGTGTCCCCAAAATCTATACTGCCATCCTGCCAGGAGGCCCAGCCCTCCGGGTCGGTGGTGTTTTTTCCAGTTTCCTTGCTGGTGTGGTGTGGGGGGCTTGAATTTGGGAGTCCTCCTACGCGAATAAGATCCTGTCCCGATGGCCTAAAATGGGGTACACTCCTCTTTGACACATCCCCTACTGTATTAAACCTTGGACCTGTGGAGTAAACTCTTGCGAGCACTATGTTAGCCGCAAAAATCCAATCCAACGCGTGTCACCGTAGTTCCTACCGTAGCAGTGCAGCCGAAAATGAGGCTTGAAGCAACTTCTTAAGTTGAACATCGTGGCAAATCTGAAGCCTACTTTCGCCGATGGAAGAAGTGATCTCTCGTCAGCCTGATTTATTCCCTTGCTGGCAATATTTTGCCGAGCACAGCAGTTTTCAAAAAGTAGACCAAGCCAAGTCTCCACTTCCCAAGGGCCCACGGCCTGATCGCAAGGCGACTGCTAGATTACGCTATGTTCTTGTAACCGAAAAAAGGTATTGCACCACGTGCCCTGAGCAAGCAGCACGACTGGGATTCGAGGCTAACCCCTAATAGCTGATTTGGCAGCGGCTCTGCGCGATGCCGAAAGCCCTCAGCACTTCTTGCCCGACAGTGCACGGGCTCCATGCATGCCAGTTGAAGACTCAAGGCGTAGGGTTCTGTCCACAAGGAACTTCATGCAGTTGTTGACCATCTTCATCTTAGCCGCTGGTAATGCAAGATGACCAACCAAAACTCTGTAGGATTCCTGGCACGCCTGAATACCCGAACCACCAAAGCTGTTGAGGGAAACTTCACATGAGGCACGTGAACGCAAAAATCCGCACCGCTGGGATCCTAAGCCTCCGAAGCACAGAGTCTGAGATGCATCTTCATATCCCTTTGCTGCACACTCCGCCTAGGGTGTAGCTTTCGGTTGTTTGGTTTGTGGGTCGTAGGGAGTGGCATTTGGGTTGAGAGCTTTTGAGCTCGATGTTTCAATGGGGACTTGGGTTGCAATGGTGGCAAATGGACTGCCGATATTTTCCTCTGACAGCGATCCCGATCCCGGCTACAGCAACAAATGGCGGCAAGCAATCGTTTTTTTGTCTGTTTGGCAGTGCCTGGTGGAAGGAAAGGGGTTTCTATCATGCGGCTATGTAGCAATGGCAAAGTAAACAATGAATGATCTGGCGTTTACAGAATTTGGGCCCAGCCTTGTAGAGCCCACCGAGCTGACAGGGTGGTTCCTGCCCAGTGAAGTGCATTTTCGACCAAGGGCTGCAAGAAAAACAAGGCCAATGGGTGACAGAACAACTTCGTTGCGCAGGGCCTTAGCAGCTGCTGCCTTTTCCTTTGACAGCCTCTCGTCCACCTGGCAAGCACTTGCTGGAGCTAGCGATGCTCCTGCATGATACTTAGGGCACGACGGCTACTGTTGCAGCTACCGCGCAGCTACTCTTACGGCTAACGCCACTGCTTCCACGCCTCCACCTCACCGAGACCACTGTGACGATCGCCGCAGCGTATCAGCACTAGTATGAGTGTGGGTATTATTTTAGGTTCTGCACCATGAAAAACAAAACAACAATGAGCAATGGAGGGAGTAGCAGCAGTTGTGGTGGTCCTACAATCGCCGCAGCTATGATAGACAAATGCCGCTGCGCAAGGACTGAAGCCAGCCTGGGGATGCTTGCTGCCATTTGGTCCCACCCAGCGCCACTGCAAGTCTCCGTCTGTGGGCCAGCTGCATGTGCCTTGCTCTTGGTAGCTGGCTTAGCGCTTAGGTGGTGGTTCTCGATTTCAACCCAGACTAGTGGGGTCCCATCTTGTTCAGTCGAGATGTGACATGTACGCGAGTCAGGCAACTGGCATGGATAACAGGCGTCTGTTTCCAGATATTCTTACAAACGTAGGCATGCCTTTCTTTTTGCAGAGCGGCCCCATCCAAAGTTGTGCCGCTCCACCTCCCAAACTTCTAGGAGCCTGCAAGCATCCCTGTGTTTCGTGCAAGCTGGATTTTTGAGAAAAGGGCTCAACACTTTGACAAACAACTGCCATCGCCAACGGCCAAAGACTGACGGGTCAATTTGCAGTAACAGCTGAAAGGCCACCGCAAGAATCCTTATCATTTGACTGCCTGCCTTGTTCGAGCAGCGCCCCGGTCTCGCATGGTTGCCTGGCACTTGCTCTCATGAGCAGCTTCACTAGCTGTAGGGGTGGTGCAAGGCGCTTGGCACACCAGTGTAAGCCCTGTGGCTGATGCAGCCATGGTTGATTAAGGTGTGGCTGCAATCACTCTGTGTTCTCAGGTTGCAAGCCTCGCTGCTTGCGACCCCCGACACCAAGAAATTGAGAAAGCCGAGCTTGCAGTCAAGGGCTTTGCACAGTTGCCCTGGTTTCGCGGCTCACAAGCAAAAAACTTGCATGTTCTGCTTAGTTGAACCTGAATTGTGTTGACCTGTCCGAGTAAATAAGCCTTACATTCAGCGAGGGCTACTGCACGCATACCTCTATCCTCGGAACTGGTGCTCACAGCAGCCATTACAGCCGTTTGTTGCATTTACATCTGGAAATAGCGATGCCCTTGCGGGATTCTGGGGCCATTAATAGCACTTCCACCTGAAATCCTACATAAACCCAAAGCATCACGTAAACCCTAATTTCTTACAGTGGTTATACAGAAACTCCAAGCATTCAAAGCCCACCTCGGATGGCAGCATTTTGAGCCCGGTCTCCGCCGCAAGCTTCATGTCGCGTACGCGTGCGGAGTCTCAGCCACTTGGAGGCTGGGGGGAAATGCAAATACCAACACCAACACTAATATGGTAACCGTACAGTACCCGCAATAATAGCAGCAATAGTAAGTGGCTGTGCATCAACAGGCTGAAGTCCCAAGGAAGTAGAAATTGGGGCCGGCGACCCAATCTGTAATGTAGTGAGTAATGAATGACCTCAAAGGTAGCTACACATACATTGTTAATTATCACTTGAAATTCAAGTTGTAGACTTGTAGCAAGCTCCAAAAACCGATATTCTGTCAACTGTTAGAGAGAGAGAGAGAGACAGAGAGAGATAGCTCTATGGTGTGGTGTGTATGAAAGGGTTCTGCTGTAGCTCTATCCTATGAAAGAAGAGGAAGTTGTGTAAAACAAGCAATGCAGAAGCCTTTCCCTGTATCGTTCTTCATCGGGCCATTCTGCGAAGAAAGGTCACCCAATATGAGAACACGATGCTTTTCCATCCCGTCCAGAACCCACATGACGTAACACAGACAGGGGCTTTGCTGGGAGTGTTCTGCTTTCACTCGCCTGGGCTTTTGTCTGTTTATGCAACTTTGAGAAGTGCAACCTATTCACTGCTCAGCTTCAGGGAAGCTTTGGAAGCCTGTTGCTTTGGCCTCTGGTTTGAGACGGACACCAACTGACATGCCAAAGGAACTGCTTAACCAGACTGCGAGCTACAATGATCCTTCTATTATTAAGGGTGGACCCCCCTCAAAGGGACCTAAGTTTTGGAAAGCCCCACATTTCAGCAGCACCAGTGAGTGCACAGCTCAGTGAGGCGCGCTCGTCAGTTTGTCGGACCGTTCGTAGCTGAGCCCAAGTGCGATGGGCCTGCGGACAAAATGGCAACAGAAATGCCAACATCATCCATCCAGCCACACAGCCATTGTGATCTGGTTGTATTTGGATTCGAATATTGCTTCTATGTGGCAGCGTTGGGAACGGGCATGCGAGACACACGGACAGGAATGCCATGGCTCGCTGCAAGCAGAGAGTAGTGGCATGCCGATCCTCTTAATGGTATTGGATGCGCGGAAGGCGCTAATTGTGAAGGGAGGGGAGCGGCTGTTTCCAGCACAATTGTGCATGTGGCCACCACAATTACACCTTGACCTAGGTTTCCGCCATTCAACATGCAAAACCATGGCTGATCTTGGGTGCCTATGCAATGACTCTCCTATATTGAAGCACTCTGGATCTTCACCTCTCTTGTCAAAGAGATGTCTCTGACGATCTTCCAGCCCCACTTCGGCCTCTAAGCGCCCCTGCTTTGCAGCAGCGTTCAAGCCGCTGAGCAGCGCTTGTTTGGCGGCTTCGCTGAGACCAGCCTTGAAATGCTTTGCAGCAACAATCAGTGGCCCAGTTCCGCCCTTCGAAAGTGCCCTATTACGCCGCCCGTCCTTGTCCAGATCCAAGCTGACTTCGCTGCTGGAGCCCTTCAATTTCAGCATCTTTCCTCTGCCAATTTTCTTGTTTGTCATTTCAGCACACTGGACTCAGAAAGATCAAACAACAAACATAGGTCCTGCCAATTCTGCCTCCCGCAGCTGGGAGAAGCGTATTCCCCGAAGAGTTGCTGCCTTTGCATCGTGTTGCTTTCGCAAAATTGCAAAGTGCAGCGTTGTATCCCGAAACGCTCAACCGTGTGTTTCAATGCGCACTCCCGAGCGCTCTGGATTCATACGGAATTCACACCGAAAGCGAATAACTTTCTGACTTTCCGCTGGGAGCCTTGGCCGTGGAAGAGCTTTTGAGAGGTCCGAAGATTCTCTCGAACTTGTTGGGAACAGCATCTGCTGCCTGGGTCCAGCGACTTAGGAAGCAAACGCTGCCACGAAAAATTGGGTGGAACAAACCTGCGATCATTCAGCTTATTAGAGCTCTCGACAAACCTATTTGCAGATAGCAGGCCCATACCTTACGTCCAACCATCATCACCGGCTAAACTTTTTTACCACCTTCGGGCAAAACTCCTGGAACGATGTCGCTCTTCAAGCCCAGGGTATGCGTCTCTACAGGATCGCATTCAAACATGGTGGGTCTCATCTGGCCTGGTTGGATGCCACTGCCACTGCAAGCTGATCTGCGAAGAGCAGCATGGTGCTGACCAAGAGGTCCCCACCTCCACAGTGACTTCAGGCCGTTCACACATGATATGAGTTGGGGATTTCGACGAACCCACGAAGCCTTTTTCCTCTCTGTCTAGGACCACCACTTCGCAAACACCACGGATGTTTTCTCCATACCTGATCTGGCAACGATGCGAAGGTAGTGATCAAGCGCTCTTCAGCAGTCCTGCTTTCTGTCATTCCTACAGCAGAGCAGGAACAGAAGGGGCTCAAGCTGAGGTGATGCATGACAACGTGCTGGTGGAAGAGGTGCTGGATGAAGCCAAGGCTAAGGATTTCTCGATGCCCTCTCTGAGGGTTCTGCCGATGGTAGAGTTGAGCCTCGAAGTCAACGAAGGGGCGCACCTCACCAAGCTCTCCTTGGCAAGTTGAGGATGAGCAAGATGGATTGCTGAGTCGGGGTCTACTACGTTCTAACGTGGGGATGCGAATAACCACCACAAAGCGTCTTAAACAGGAGCCTCCAACAACGGATTGCCTCGGCACTGCAACCCTTAAGTTGAAGCAAGAAGCATTGGAAGTCCTAGCAAAATCAAACTTCAAACTCGTGGGAGGCCAAACAGCATCCAGTTCCCAGGACAGGGCCAGGGTTCCAAACAGCACGAAGAACTATGTATATATATATATATGTACACATACATACACAGCAAAATATGCTACCTTCCCCTAGAACCCTGCATACACACACGCACACACACCAAAATATGCTACCCCTCCTCTAGAACCCCGTATTTCAAACATTTTAGCTATGTAATGCTCCAGTACTTGCAGTGAAAGCAAAGCATCATTTTGTCACGTAGCAGGGAACTGGCAATTATATATATATATATATACATACACACATATTAGATATTCAAACACATATGTCACATGTGTTCCTGCTTGCGGCCTGCGGCTCCAAAGAGCAGACGTGGCAACCGCAATCTCCGCCGAGCACGCCGGCGCTGATTTGCTTCGTTGTCATTGAGCGTGTTTGTTGTGGAAGCCAGGCCGGTGCCAACCTTCGGGGCTACAGGCATCTGTAGACGAGCTTAGGGATCTGCATGGAGTATCATGGAGTATGTATTCAGAACTATTCAGAAATCTAAAGGCATTATTCTGGGATTTCGTTGGGATAGTAATGATTTGGCGGTACTTCAGGAGTCAAGAGACTTACCGACATTGAGCTGTGGCTTCAAGGTTCCACAGAGGCCGGGCCTCTCCGATTGCGGTGCCGATGGCTGCAACCGGCTTCACGATGGTCCCGGCTACTCCCTTTGTTAGGCCTCTGCACCGTACATTCTCAGCAAGAAGCCATATCTGATCACATCTAGCAAAAACTCTGCAATCTTGAAGTGCTGGCGGGAACAGAACGACCGCGCCTTGTGCAAAACCCCAGAAGCCATCTTTCTTGGCACCCTCCATGGGCTTCGTCACCACATCGAACATGCCCTCCACTCCTGGCTGTTTTTCCAGTCTGGAACATGATTGTACACCACGCTTTAGACCGAAAGATGCTGCAATGCAATGGCTACACTCCCTTGTAGAACCTCCTGCTACATGGGAGCTTCATACTTCAGCCTCGAGGACGAACCCAAGAATCCAAACAGAATCCTCCTAGCATCGCAGAGCCATGAGTTCTCAGGGCACCCCTAGTTTGAGAAACGTCCAGCTGAGCCATCGTCTAAACTCCTAGTATCCCCCCTTAATAACCCGGATAGTAGTCCCCTATATAATCCTTATACATAACCCCGTTTAAGGAGCTTAGACTATGGCTCATCTCAAGCAGCTGGGGTGGCCATCCATCAAGGTCTTGCCGGCTGCTGCGAAGCCTTGATTTGCACCAGTGATCTTCTGCTTCTCACCTTACGGGCCATAGGAATGTCTCAAAATCGGAGGCTCTTAGGGGACCGCTTAGGGAGTGTGGGGTTAAGAACGTTATAAAAGCTTATAAGGGTCTTCCCTACAAGCACATAGGGACTCCCTTGAGAAACTTCTAGGGGCTCCTCTGACTTACTGTTCAATGCAGCCTAGCGTCGATTCTTGGCTATGTACTCGTCATCCATGGTGAGATTCCTGACAGCTTCAAAGTATTTGGTCTGACCACCCGAGCAGCCAAGCAGCTCAGAGGCTCATGACATCTATCCCAAACAAACCTGTTAGTATATAGGATATAGGAGTTATATTGGGGTAATATTGGGGTTATATGCGGGGAAAAGAAAATGGAAACTACTATATAGTATCTTGGGGGTAGCCTTTTGAACCTCAAACCCCAATCATGGCCTCAGCAAAGATGACGCTCCAGTCGTCACGTCAGTGAGCTTGTCGCCCATGACTGCCACTACAGCCCCACCCAGTTTCAGCGGAGCCTTTGGGAGATTAAGCAGCGAGCTCTTGCCTGCCAGACATTTAGGAGTTTCTGACAGGGGTGGCGACATCCCCGAGGACCCCAGGTTGGGGATCATAAAGGGATTCTAGCAATGATTATGGTGGGCAATTTTGTGCAGCTGCCCTTTGCTCTCGTTGCTGCAAACGGGGCAAGAACTGGGAGGAGGGTGCGTATGCTTCAAGCTGCCCTCCCCATCCCGCCTAACAAAGAAGCTAGGTGACCCAAGATGGAGGTGGCATAGTCGCTCGCAATCGTCATGGCATAGTCCTTCCATGCATGAAAACACATCTGAGTCAAAGATACTTCCCAAGTGAGCAGGGGTACATGAGATCCATGTGGCCCTAATCGTACCTACCCCGCAACCAGTAGATGAATAAACACCGGCAGGATGGCCTGTAACGAACCGCGGTGAGGTTCCAAATGCTTGGCAGGCAAGGCAAGGCCGACCTGGCAGGGGGTGAGCTAGAGAATACGTTATATGCGTAGGCATTCGGCATTGAGGTTTCTTGCTCTTTTTCTCAGGGGCGTGTTGGCATTAGGCCATTAGCACGAATCGTCGCATAGCTACGTTGCCAAGATTTGCCAAGTAGCTCCATCCAGTGTGAAATAGCTGCTGAATGAGAGCACTTTCAGTGCCTGAGTGCTCAGCTCTCCATTTCCCTGATATCTTCACAGAACAAGACATCCGAGCAGCCGTGCGGACATAGACTGGCAGGAACTCCAAGTACTTCAGGCGAAGCGAACACCACACCTTGACAAGCATTTAGGAGTTCAGCCTGCATTGCTTAAGCATCTTCGCTAAGCCAGCTCACAGCAAGATAATGGAACAGAAAATGGAGACTGCTATAATATAATAGGGTGTATATGTATATATATATATTGGGGTTACAGTATATAGGGATATAGCGATAATGGAAACTACTATGATATTATGTAAGCCACACAGTCTTTGTAAGTTTGGGCATTTCTCATCAATCACACGGCCTTCGGAAGTGTGCCTGAGCATGGTCTATAAGAACCCTCCTCATTTGGCTGCTAGGCAGCCGTCATATCGACTGCAGAGAGTTTCACGTCTTCTGCTTGGACGACCGCGGGAACGTCTGGAGCCACGTAACCGTCCTTAGGTTTAGGGCATGCTGGTTGACTTCTTCTCTGATCCATAATCCTGGGCTCCCTCTGATAGGCGTTCTAGGAATTCGTCATTTCGGGCATGTAAGGGGTTTCCAAGGTTTCGCAACTGTCCCTTTGCCAGCATGGCAACGCACATTTGGTTGTAGTCAGCGTTAATGCCGTAGTGAAAGCTTTGGACTCCCTTTATTGCGAAGTCCCGGTTGATGCTTTGACTAGGGTGCTGGGCTGTAATGAGGTGATACTGACACTCCCAACACCGCATTGTGCGCCAAGCTTCCGTGATGGGCTTGCCAGCATAGGCCAGGAGCTGCTCTGCAGCAACTCCGAAAAGGTCAAAGCCACCTGCCAACTCAACGCGCGAGTACTTCGCAATCCAACTGGCTTGAGCGGAATGGCATGATTCCAAACAAGATAGTCGCAAAAGGACCCTGGGCGCCTGATCCAAAGCTGTGGGACAGCCAGTGCTGCAGAGGCGTTAGCCACTTCTCATCCACAGTAAAGTCCAACTTGTCGACATCCAATTGCGCAGCGCTCAGCAGCAGATCCCTGCAGCTGTGAGGTATGGTTGCTCGCAGCGAGGTGGAACAACAACTGTAGTTTATTGGGGGTACATAGGGGTTATATAGGGATAATGGAAAACAAAATGGCAGCTGTGTTAGCATATTGAGGTTATATTACGAGGGTCGTTACGTAGAGTTAATTGTGAGAATGATCTTCCTGCAGCGGCTACATGAAAACAGTCCTTTCCGTGCTGTAACGATATCTGCCGTAAGCAAGGCCATGGCCATTGCAAGGGTTTGCATACCAGGTCTGCAGTAGGGCTGCTGGGCTCTTACGCACAGGCCAGCCAATTTGCAGACCACGTAAGGACTGGCCGCAACACAGAGGAGTCTCTCAAAATGGGGAGCCCCTTTAGGGACCCTAGGGATATACGCGGATGACACAGGGTTTTGGGGTCCCGGTTAAGGGCTGAAATGAAAAGACAACATTGAAGCTGAGCCTGGAGGATGTAGCCTGGCGAGTCATCTGAAACTGCAGGAAGGACTTTCCTCCTGCTGAACTATCTTGTGATCGGTGGAGTTTGAGGTTTTGGGCTGCACTTTGGGGTTGTTAAGTCAAAGGGGGTAAGGCCCAAACCTGTTCCGCATGAAAACCTGGCCTGTGATGGGTAGTTGTACGAATATCCTTGGAACCCCAAACAAGGATGTTTATTTAGTGTTATGAAAGGTCCTAGTCCTTGGCGCTCAGACTGAAGTTATGTGCTTGGGGGCGGCAAACCTCGAGCCTGGATTGCTTGATGCTATGGGTATTACTTGGGATCGGGTGTACGATTTGGGCTTTGGGGCCAGCCGTGTGCACGCAGAGAGACACGGTTTAGTTCCACCGTCCAAGTAGAAGATTGCCGCAAATCGCAGGGCGAACATCTTTGCAAGCCTGCTTAAAGATCTGTGAACCATTATGGAGACCAGTTCGGAATGCACATGCGGGTGTCGCTTTGGAAAACCAACCCCCAAGCAGCAGGTTCGTGACTGTTTTGGTCTGCCCTCAAAAGAAGCCTAAAGCTTGAGGCATCCTACGTTCTTCCGTAGAATCCCTCTTTACGCCCATGCAGCTCCCACTTGGGCTGCTCCTGCAGAATGGTTGGCCAGAATGACCGCCGGCAGCTCCTTTGAAGCGAGGCCAAAGTGATGTCTACTAGATTGCTAGATGTAAATGTAAGCGGGTAGTAGTCGTAGTAGACGTAGCAGTAGTAGCAGCCGGAGGACTGCAAAGAGGAGACCGAGTACGACGAGGACGACCAAAGGAAGTACGATGCAAACTCCTGTAAGTATGACCCTCGCAGCATTAAAACTCGAGTTCCCAGGTCGGACATACAGCAGCAGGAATTTGAACAGCCCAAACAGTTCACTGCGTCACTGCGCATGGCAAGCAGATAAAAAGAAGCTCACAGACAAAGACAATCAGTTAAACCTCCGTCTGCTTCCCGGAGCCTGACATCTCCGAATCCAGTATCCAAACACTTGGGGCTAGAAGGAAATTACCCAAAATGCCATAGTTCCTGTAGTGGAGAGCGGAGACACCAAAACTGTCACACGGCTTTGCTGCTACAGACCACACCCACAACCGCGGTATGAGACGCTCCCGTATGAAACTGTAACGCTCCAGCGCAAAACGTCGCGCTTTGAGACTTGGATGGCACACCACGTGCATCAACGAGCATACGTGCTTTCGCTTGTATTGTAGCTGATTGCCCAGTCATTTAAGCGAAACAGGTCCTAATCCGCAAGCCTGCAATTCCCAAACCCCACTGCTGACATCCTGATCGCATCCCGAACCTACAGGAGCTATAGTCTAAACTCCTAGTATCCCCCGTTGTAACCCAGATTGCAGTCCCCTCTATAGTCCCCTATAACCCCCTTCAAGGAGTTTAGACTATAGCTCACTTCCCTCAAATCGAAACAAAGCATTGACAGCGCCTGATTCTGCATCAAGTTTTCTGGCAGCTTTTGGAGCTGGTTGATGTCAAGCCTTGGACATGAGTTGGATGAACGTCTTAAACTTACTTGTTGTAAGCAGGGATATGGGAACACACTATGTTATAAAGGGATTATCCAGGGATCATATCAGCTGTTCAGCCTTCAGTACTAGTATTTCGAATGTTGGAGGGGGCTCGGGGTTTCTTCAAGGGTTAGGTACTTGCTGGAACCAAGATGTAAATCCGAATTCAACAATGACCAAGAAGCATGCTGACTTTGTCCTGAGAGCGGCAACAACATGTCTTGTTAGCCAGTCATGGACATGAGCAGTGTGGAACCCTGAACGATTAGACTAAGTTTTCGCGGCACACAATGCTAAACTGATAACAAAGTTATTTGGGAGCGCGCATCAGCTTTCTGCACGAGACACTTCGATACTCAGGCCAGACGAGCGGCCATATCATTGGTTCTGTCTGGTAGCTGGCAGATTCCCTGCACCTGGGCAGTGAATGACTTGGACATCTCAATGCTTCAGAACCCCAGACATCTTGGAGCCAACCACTAGTTCAAGCAACATAGATCGCGAGGCAGGAAGGATCGCGTAAAGCCAAATTCTATGCTGTGCCGGCCTCGGAAATGGACAGTGTGATCTTCTCAGAATCTCGCGCAGCGTCCTGCTGCAGAGGCATGGCATTCTGCCGTGTAAATTACGGCCGAATCCGCTGCATGCCGCACCATGTGTGAGTATGATTTTGAGCGTTGCTGCGCTAAACTTTATCATCTCATCTTTGCATTACAGGTCTTGTTGACGCTGGCCTTCAGGTACTCGAGCCGCAGCATGTCCAAAGAGAAGAAGAAGAGCTCACAGGGCCGCGGCGGGCTTTCGTCGATCAGCGAGATCCCTGCGCGGCCCAGCTTCACATTGAGCTCGAACCTTGGTGACTCTTAAGTTTCGCAAGATCGGATCCATGGCACCTCAGAACATGCAGGGATAACGATAGCCCTGTGGAGACTTAGTAGAGGGGGTCTCAAATCTCAAGTAGTTGAGCAGTACACAGGGATCATTCTGACAAACTCCTTAATGGAACCACAGTCAGGTCAGGATTGAAGGGTTAGGCTTGCAAGGCAAGACGTTACATGCCTTTAAAGCGCATGAAGCACCTGTCCAAAGGCAGTCGAGAAACGTTGCCTGGAAGGCCTGGAGGCAGGAGGCATGGTTTTTGCCATTATCAGATTCTGGAATTGAATGCAACATGAGTCGTTTGCTGTCACTTTATATGATGACTGTTACTACGACCAGCATAGAAACATATAGAAACCATCATCTTCTTCATCATGACCTATTAACAGCATTCACTATCATTCTTGCCAATATGGTTAGATTCATTACGGCTCTTGGTGGCGTTCGGGAGTTCTAGCTTTCGTCACGCCTTTGCTAATCTTTGCCATTATTGCTCCGCAGAACGCGGAAATTCGGATCAGTACTACTGCTACTGCTACTACTACTCCTGCTGCTGCAGCAGCAGCTGTTGCTTTTATAGGACCACCACCACTGCCACAGCTACGGCTAATCGACTGCTGCTGCTGCTGCTGCTGCTGCTGCTGCTGCTGCTGCTGCTGCGTGGAAGGTGCCTCAGCCATGAAACAACAAAGCCACACATGCTCTGACTAGAGTAGATTTTTGCGTGTGCGTTCCCGGAATGGACGTTACTTGGCACTCCGCCCATCCCCCCCCACCACCCCCTATCCCCTGAACTCCTGCCCGCATCCGCTACGCTTCCTGAGTTACAGAGCCGCAGGCATTCCACAGAACAATTTCTTCAGTTTTGGCCTGGTTTTAACCGTTTAACATGTGGAGAACATAGTTGGTAGTTGGAGGCGCCTTCTACTACTTGAACTGCTGCTCCTCCTCCTGCTGATGCTACCACTACCGCGACAACTACTTCCAGTACTTGAAGAAACTATTGTCGCAGTATGTCGAAGTGATAGCACCTGTCCTCCTATTTATGCCAAGATCCCCTGGCCTCCGATTTGGCATGTACCTGCTGCTTCTCGTGGAGCTCCTCTAAACTTAGCTTGGTGGTCTTCCCGCTGCGCATCACACGCAGGGCCAGGTGGGAAAGTCCTGAGTTTCTTCAAAAGATTTCAAAAACCACTTCTAAGACGGACAGAGAATCAGGGTTAATATGCTAGTAGCTGCAGAAGCTATTGCAAGAACAGTTACAGTCATAGCAACACCACGAGAATGACGTTAGTTAAGGGAGGATTTCGTCGTCCTTGTTCCTGCTTCTTGTAGACCGTCCTCCTGAACCGTAAGAGACACGGAATTCTATTGTGGCGAACCCTCTCTCTCCCACCAAACTACCAAGGTACCCCGCAACAACGTCCCAAACCGGTATGTACCGTAAGAGGGACCCCCCATTTTGAGCAATAACCATCTAGAGGCTGCAAAGGGCTATGACGCAATTACCCTTTATGAAGGCTGCCTTTCAAGCAAACATTTTTCAGGAATCTGCTGCCTCTCAGAACGTCTTGGAGCCGGTCCCCTTTACATACAGCACCCAGATCCTCAGAATCAGGACCCTCCAACACATACCCCTGATCTTACGGGCACCATCAGCCTACAGTAAGGTTTATGATTCAAGACAAGCATCCTGGCTTTGTTAACGGCCGAACCGCTGTGCGCTGCAGATCAGGTATGTCGACGACCTCCTTGTCCACGATTACTCTGACAGCCTCATTTTCATGCCAACATTTTCCAACCTACTGCAGCTCCTGCTGCTGCTGCTGCCGCCACTGCCTACGCTTACAAATAAGTGCTGCAACACCACTACGACTTTCTTGGGCAATGCAACGTATACTGATCTTCAGCAACGGCAGCTGCAAGACTTGCGATTTGCTTGGCAACAAGTTGCTCGAGAGCGCTTGCCAGAGAAGGGCATGCACCAACCAATTGGCACATTCTCTTCACCTCAGATATGTGTAAACTTTTCAAACTTAGGCGCTGTATGTTACTTAGACTCCCGGAAACGGATCCGCAATTCTGATAAGAAATCATGTAGCGGTTTGTCAGACCTACAAGTTTCCTGTATAAATGTCTGCACCACAGTCTACTTCCAAGCCCCCAGCTTAATTTCCTCTACATTGGCGCACTTCCTCGCCCAACCTGCAGTCTCTCCCCACCTGACCCAGCTGCAATGCTAAGTTTCAGCAGCTCTCTACATGTGCAGATGGGACATATCTTCCCATGAAGTCATCAGCATCTCCAGGACAAAAATAGCAAAACGTCATAACATACTATAGTAGTTTCCATTTTCTTTTCCATTATCCCTATATAACCCTATTTTATACCCTAATATACTTATAGTAGCTTCCATAAGGGCTTCTGCATCTTGGGTCAATTCAATGATAGGATGGCCCAATGACAATGTCCCTGGCGAATTCAGCTGCTATATGCTGTTTGGTATGATGCCCACTTTCTGACGGACTTGTGTTTTATCTATTGGTATCCGCCAGCATGGTAGTTGCCGTTTTTGGCCCCCCTGTATACACTGAAATAGAGTGAAGAATGTGTATCGTAAGGACTTGCGCAAAGAGACTCCTTGATTTTGGAAACTCCTAAAGCTTACCTCTGGGGAATCAAAATCATATAGAAACTACACCATTATCGGGGATGAAATGGGGAGTACTATAAAGAGCCATTCCTTGATTCCTTGTTAATTTTGGAAACTCCCAGAGAGAGGTGCCTGGCCTGGTGGTACCAGAATTTTCTCTTCTGGTCGCCCTTCGTCTTGCACCTCCATCCTGCCATCACCCCAGTATTGGGTTTTATAGGGCTATAAAGGCCCGTATGGGGGTACATAGGGTGCAGGTGAAATTCCAGAATACCGGAGAATCAAACAGCACATGAAATGGAAACTGGGATTGTCATTGTACACCGGTTACAAGGATTAGGGACTCCAAAATTTAGGGGTCCCTTTTTGGGAGCCACTTCAATCGGATTCTTGTATTGGGGGGGGGGTGGGTGTAGCGAATACCACATCCTCACAAGTATGTGAATGTTTTAAAGTACCCCTCTTCTGCTACCCTCCCAGTTTTTTGGGCTGCAAAAACGGAGCCCTGATTTCTTTAAGACACTTCCCTATCACATTGAAGCTAATCCAACGGGCAGCTTCCATTGCTTTTTCCGTAGGTCTTTCCGTTTGAGTGTCAATTATGGGAGATTAGATTGGAGTTATAGGGATATACCGGAACCCCTTCAAGGGGTTAATCTTAGAGTTATGTATGCGGCCTGTGCTCAAGGAGGTTGGCTGCAATGAAGTCGGATCCAGGACGAATCAGCACACCCATGCTGCCATGAAGCGGCGCTACATCCACGCTCCACACCTGCTTTCACAGCAAAGCTTGGAGGGCCGGTGGTGGATTACTGCGACAGTGGGCCTCCACCCCTCCTTTCTGACGCTTCAGCGTAAAGGGAGTGGAACCCGCAGAACCGTCGCTGCCTGGCGATACAACTCTCCTTTTCTGCGAAAAAGCACTCCAGCAACAACAGCGGCAGTTAGGAAGGCTGGGGGCGCGGCACAGGACGACTCCGGAAAATTCGCACTGACTTGCTCCGATGGGCCGGAAGCCTCAGATCGCGCATGTAGGGGCATGGAGCTTTCGATCAAGCAGGTTTGCCAGTTCGTCATGGCAACGCTTGGAGAAACAGTGCGATCTCAAATGAGAAATCGCATGCTGCGAATCAATTTTCAGAAGAGGCCTTCAGATGACTAAGATAATTATACTGCAGTCTCTCAATGTTAACATCGTAACCTGCATGGCATTTCTCGCTCGCAACTAGCTTTCCATGGAAGCAGCCCTCAAAGTTCCCATTGTACTACTCCAATCTTACCAATTCTGGCATCACTATTTGTCATGATCGCAATTCTTACTCGGAATCTTATCGCTGTGAATATTGCAGCCCTGACTTGGTTCTTCATCAGGTCACGGAAGGTGGTGGCCAAAGGATCCACAGCATCCGGGCTGGCCTAGCAGACTTTTGCCCAAGTCTAAAGATGATACTCCTAACACTCACAGAAGAATTAAAGCGATGGGCCAGTCAGCTCTGCCCTCGAATGTCATCATAACACCAAGTGGTTCTCTTTTCAAATCATGCGGGTGAACCACGTTGCATATACATGCTCATGATTGTTCATGCTTCATGATCCAATACGAAGCATCTATTAGTGTTGACGCAGCTTTGCAGCAAGTCTGCCTTCCAGTGCAACACCCGAGACTCGCTCGGTCTCCATCGAATCTTCCTTGAGGTTTGGGGTTCGGGGCTGCCACAGCAGCGAAAGCAGTGACTGGATGCGACACATGAGCTAAGCTGCGTGTACCATCTTTCATTTTGATGGCAGACATTGGGTTGCATTGTACACGAATGAATGCCACGTTTATCAAGATTCCCTTAGTATAAAAAAGACGTATGCTCATACTCAGACCGATGGGAATAGACTTGGAAAGGTGTCCCCCTGCTGCTGGGGACCTGGCATCTTGTCAGGAGTCTCGAGCTCAAGATCCACGTCCGAAGCGTTTGTTACGACCAGTCGCGGCGCCAGCGTGAACTGCATGCAAGTTGCTCCATGCACACCTGCGGGACGCTATGGGTGGGACGTGGTAGCAGGAATTCAGATAGCTCGCAGGGAAAGGGCCCTTGTAATGTTCTGTGAATTCCTACTCAGTAGAATCCTAACTCACATTGAGCGGCTGCTGCTCTTCACGCTGCCAATGCGGAGAGTCATCTCCAGACTTCCAGACGGGGTGTTCCACACAAAGCTTTCAAAGTTTGGCGGCATCTTCCTGGGGCAGGCGGCAACTTTGCACACATCAACACTACCTTGGCGAGCAATCTTGAGCAGCACTGAGCCAATGACAATGTATGCTTTGCTTTGGCCACCTTGCCGTCGGGACCTGAGGCCAGCCAACAGAAGCTGGTCTGAAGGGTTTCCAGGCTGGAGGCATAGTAGAACTTATAGCAACTCTCAAGTGCAAAGGGTGTGGCACAAGGCGAGATCGCAAGGATTTTCGAAGCAGCCAGCATGGAGCCTGGCCAAACAAACGGCATGAGACGAGCATGCCTGGCAAATGCCTACAAAGTGAGCTGCTACAACCGTGTTGTTCGGAAGGGGCTAGCGCTTGGTGTAACCTCCCATTATCTCCCATTGCTAATTTTGCTGCTGAGAGACAAAGTGATGCCACCCCGCGATGGCAACTTGGCACCCTGGTAGAAAACCTCTAAATGGCCAAGTCCTTTGTCCTGAGGGTGCCAACTGAACTTTCTTTGACACATTCAGTTTTAGGCAAGTCCTGTGTACCACCACGGTCCAGAAGCCAATGGGAGCAGCTGATGCCTGCAGTTTGGGAAGAACTGCCCGCTTAATTCCCCACAGAGGCCCGTCGAAGCTGGTATAAACTGCATATGCATTCTTACACCTTCGGGCTTTTTCTGCCCATCCCGACACCCCTGCAGCCCTTAGAGTCGGACAGACTTTTTTTTTCTGAACTTGTGCTGGCCAAGGTTCGGATCTGTCCATGGCCCAAGCATTCCAGAGAAACTGCGGCTGCTGCACCGTTCACAGTCTCCCTCAAATCCAGGATCTTCGCCTGTCATGGGGAAAGCCCGGCATTTGCTGCTGCTGGCGCAACCACTCGCTGCACCTCATCACCCTGCACGTTTTCGGTGACCTCTACGACGTCACTGCCCTCGAGACCCACCTCGAAAGGGGCAGAATGAGTTCCGTCGAGGCTTGCCTCTGAAATTTGAAAATATCATTCTGAAGTTCTTCCCCGAGCTGGCCTTGCTACTCCAAGGTGCCTTTGGTCCCAGCTGTCCTCCTATACTCAAGCCATCACCTCATCTGCGAAAGCATCTGTTCATGCTGGCAAGCCGCATGCTATTCTTCAAGAAGGGCCCGGACGTATGTCCTGCATGCTGAGGGTGTAGAAGTTGACTCGCTGCAGTGCCTCCACAGCCACTGTCACCGCTTGGGAAGATTTCCTCGAAGCGATCTCCAGGCCTCCATGCGCCGAGGACTAAGGCTCATTGTAACATGAATGTCTACAAAACAACCGAGAGCGACACCGAGGGGTCCAAAGGGGAGAGAATTCCTGAGACAGCTGCACAACAGAACCAGCGTGGACGCAAAAAGTGTCCTAAAACAACTTTACGCCGATACGCCGATACGCCGGTACGCCACACTTAGGGCGCCAAAGCAGGGAAATACGCCGATACGCCGGTACGCCGGTCGGCGAGGGGCTGAAGGGAAATACGCTGATACGCCGGTAGGTCGCCTGGGGGCGGGAAATGGCCAAACACGCCGATACGACGGTACGCAGTGGAGGGGCGGAAGCAGGGAAATACGCCGATACGCCGCTGGGGGCGCTGAAGGAGGGAAAAGTATATATACGCCGATACGCTGATACGCCGCTCGGGGCGCCAAAGCAGGGAAATACGCCGATACGCCGGTACGCCGCTCGGGGTGCGGTACGCCGCTCGGGCCGTGGAAGAAGGGCAATACGCCGATACGCCGGTACGCCGCTCGGGGCGCGGAAGAAGGGAAATACGCCGATACGCTGCTTGGGGTGCCAAAGCAGGGAAATACGCCGATATGCTGGTACGCCGCTCGGGGCGCGGAGGCACGGAAATACGCCGATACGCCGGTACGCCGCTCGGGGCGGCGAAGCAGGGAAATACGCCGATACGCCGGTGCTCGGGGCGCGGAAGAGGAATTACGCCGATACGCCGGTACGCCGGTCGGGGGCCCGGGGGTGGGAGAGGGGGAGGGGGAAATCCGTCGATAAGCTGCTATGCTAATCGGGGGGCGGAGCATATTTTGAATCTCAAAAGATGGAAACGCCACTCCGTCAAATTGGTTAATTTGACTGAGTCCGGGGTGAGGGGGATGTGGGGGGTCTTGGGGTTTTTTGAGGTCATGTGGGGACTCCTGGGGACCTCGGAGAAGTCCTAGGCTGGCTAATGGAATGTTTTACGGGCTGGAAAGACTGGACAAGGACACTCTCAAGTTAGGAAATTATAGGGGAAGTGGCTTTCGGGGTCTCTTGGGGGATTGTTGCGGATGGAGGATATTGGAGGATATTACGGACCAGAAACGTTGGAAAACGAAACTGTGTCAAGTTAACAACAAGGTTCGGGTGGAGAGCGTCTTGGGGGTCTTGGGGAGTATGCCGGAATACGCGATGCTGTTTGCGTCCATTTTGGGTCATTGCATTGTGACAAGAAAAAGCGACTGCGGAAGTGCGCCCCGGTGCACTCGGCCATACAATGGGTATGATCCGGGTACGCCGAGTATGCTCAGGGCATCGCCAGGGACGTCGGGCGCCCCGTCAATATGGTTTGGGCATGGCTGCTCGGGTCAGCGGGTGCTCCTGGAACACGAACGCAATTATGGTCTCGGCATGGATGCACTGGTCACCGTGTGCTTTAGGAACACTAACGTTCTTATGGTTTGGGCATGGATGCTCTGGTAATCGCAGGCACTCGAACATGAACGCCATTGTGGTTCAGGCGTGGATGCACTGGTGACCGTATGCTCTTGGAACACGAACGTAATTATGGTTTTGGGCATGATGGTTCTAGTACTCGCACGCACTCGAACATGAACGTTACTATAAATTGGGCATGGATGCACTGGTAATCGCATGCATTCGAACATGAAAGTTATTATGGTACGGGCATGGATGCAATAGGGACCGTATGCTCTGAGAACATGAACGTTACTATGGTTTGGGCATGGATGCTGGGGTGACCGTGCGCTCTTGGAACACGAGCGTTATTTTGGTTTGGGCATGGGTGCACTGGTGACCGTATGCTCTTGGAACACGAACGTAATTATGGTTTGGGCATGGATGCTCTAGCGCGGGCATGGATGCACTGGTAATCGCCATGCATTCGAACATGAACTATGGTTTGTGCATGGATGCACTGGTTACCGTACGCTTTTGGAACCCAAGGTTATCATGGTTTGGGCAAGGCTGTACTGGCTACTGTATGCTCTTGGAACACGAACGCAATTATGGTCTCGGCATGGATGCACTGGTCACCGTGTGCTTTAGGAACGCTAACGTTCTTATGGTTTGGGCATGGATGCTCTGGTAATCGCACGCACTCGAACATGAACGCCATTATGGTTTGGGCGTGGATGCACTGGTAATCGCGTGCACTCAAACATGAACTTTACTATAGATTGGGCATGGATGGACTGGTAACCGCATGCATTCGAACATGAACGTTATCATGGTACGGGCATGGATGCAATGGTGACCGTATGCTCTTGGAACTTGCAGGTTCTCATGGTTTGGGCAAGGCTGCGCTGGTTACCGTCTGCTCTTGGAACAGGAATGCAATCATGGATTCGGCATGGTGCACTGGTTACCGTATGCGCTTGGAACACGAACGTTATTATGGCTTGGGCAGGGATGCACTGGTGCCCGTTTGCTCTTGAAACACGAACGTCTTTAACTTTGTGGTTTGGGCATGGATGCACTGGTGCCGAATACGCTTGGAACACAAACGTAATTATGGTTTGGGCATGGATGCTCTGATCCGCGGGTGCTCTTGGAGCATTAACTTTGCTATTATTATTATGGCTTGCATCGGTGTATCGTTCGAGTATATGCGCCGTTCAGGGCCCGGGGCGCGGTACCGGTGTATCGGTGTATCGGTGTATCGGTGCGGGCGGGCCCGGGGCGCGGTACCGGTGTATCGGTGTATTGGTGCGAGTGTGCGCCGTTCGGGGCCTGGGCCGCTGCGGTACCGGTGTATCATCGGTGCGAGTGTGCGCCGTTGTATAGGGGCCCGGGGCGCGGTACCGGTGTATCGGTGTATCGGTGCGGGCGTGCGCCGTTAGGGGCCCAGGGCGCGGTACCGGTGTATCGGTGCATCGGTGCGAGTGTGCGCCGTTAGGGGCCCGGGGCGCGGTACCGGTGTATCGGTGTATCGGTGTATCGGTGCGGGCGTGCGCCGTTCGGGGCCCGGGGCGCGGTACTGGTGTATCGGTGTATCGGTGCGAGCGTGCGCCGTTCGGGGCCCAGGGCGCGATACTGGTGTATCGGTGTATCGGTGCGAGCATGCGTCGTTCGGGGGTTCGGAGCGTGGTACCGGTGTATCGGTGTATCGGTGCGGGCGTGCGCCGTCAGGGCCCAGGGCGCCGTACCGGTGTATCGGTGTATCGGTGCGAACGTGCGCCGTTAGCAGCGCGGGGCGCGTACCGCTATATCGTTGTATCGGTGCGAGTGTGCGCCGTTGTATAGGGGCCCGGGGCGCGGTACCGGTGTATTGGTGTATCGGTGCAAGTGTGCGCCGCTAGGGGCCCGGGGTGCGGTAGCGGTGTATCGGTGTATCGGTGCGAGCGTACGCCGTTAGGGGCCCAGGGCGCGGTACCGGTGTATCGGTCTATCGGTGCGAGTGTGCGCCGTTCGGGGGCCCGGAGCGCGGTACCGGTGTATCGGTGTATCGGTGTATCAGTGTATCGGTGTATCGGTGCGGGCGTGCGCCGTCCGGGGCCCAGGGCGTGTATCGGTGTATCGGTGTATCGGTGCGGGCGTGCGCCGTTCGGGGCCCGGGGCGCGGTACCGCTGTATCGGTATATCGGTGCGGGCGTGCGCCGTTCGGGGTCCGGAGCACGGTACCGGTGCATCGGTGTAGCGCTGCGGGCGTGCGCCGTTCGGGGGCCCAGGGCGCGGTACCGATGTATCGGTGTATCGGTGTATCGGTGTATCGGTGCGAGGCTGTTTTTGGGACGCTGTTTGCGTCCACTCTGCAACAGCTGTAGTTGCAATCCTTCTTCTGACTGTGAGCTAGACCGAGCCCTGCGTAAGAATTCTGACATGTTCGTGTTCGGCATGCGTAGCGACAATAACTCGTCACTTCTATTTGGCTTAACTTCGTCTGAGCGTCATAAAGACCATGGTTGGTCGGATCGACAAAGTCTTGATCTTCTGACTGCCGTGCGTAGAGGCACCTGCACTGTTAGACATGAAATGATCGAGGCTACTGCCTTGAGCCCATGGGATCCCACAAGTGCAACACGAAAGGTGAATCGGTCGCCCAAACTCGTGCATTGCGATTGCCGAGAAAGTTGTCTTGCATATGGCTCCATCTCCAGAGGAACTGACATACACAACCACGTCCAAACAAGTTCTTCCTGACGTAGCTGCGCGCAGTTGGTTGCCCCGTGGTGCCTATGTCTTCGCAGTCCTGTACCACCAAGAAGTGGAGTGGCGGTGCCGACGCAGAGGCGGGGTATCCACCTTTCGACGCACCGGCGCCTGTCAGCATTGACTTGTTTAGGTGCAGGAGGGCGCACTCGTTCTTACTCCTCTCCCTCCACGCTTCCTCCTCATCTTCCTACTCCTCTTGCTGCTGGGCTTCCGATTACCGCTATTGCTGACGCTACCATCGGCCTGGCTTGCAGGAGACGCCGTCCACCGGCTTCCGCCCCACTGCCCCAGGCGGGCTGAAGTCCACCTCCTGGCTCCAAGCTGCTGGCCGCAGGCCTCAGATTCTGACTTGGAGGTTTCTCTATATTTGGAATGCCCTTGGTGACCGCAGCGCTATCTAGAGATGGTAGTAAGGAGGTTCCTGAGTCTCCTGTGGGAACATGAGGGTTCAGGATGTCCAGGAGTCAGGCATAAGCATCCAGGTCGTACCATCATGGCAAACGGGTTTAGGAATTGGCTGCTTACAGAGGGAGGCTACCCGAGACAACTGGGGTTGCAAAGAGCCGTACGGGCCGTACCTCACACATCCTTGTGCCTCACGTGCCAACTCTGCTAACATACTGCTACTCTCTAACACTTCTAGATGCTTGGACAGCTGATGCCTAGATTGGAAGCTGGAATGGATCGGTAGAAGGCAAAGCACACAGCCAACGGCGATGCAAAAAGGAGTGGATTAAGGGCGTGCGACGTGGGTGTCTGCTTTTTTGCAGGACCTCGTTTGTTCCTTGCTGTTTGCGTGCTTTTTGTTTCTCTGTGACGTGGCTGCCGGCAGGTACTAGGAGGTGTGGCGCAGCCGGTTCGCGGAAAGCTTGGATAATAAGACTGACGCAGTTCAGGATTGCGATGATATAGATCTTCTTGTGCAGGGCAGGGGGTGGTTGCGCGAGATGAACACAGCTGCAGATGCCGAAAGCCCCGGCTGTCAGCAAACGATGGCGATGACTTGGCGCTGACTAGCTGGAATAAAAGACCGAGCTCGCGCTCGTCACAACAGGAAATACACAGTGCTGAGCTTCAGTCAGGAACTCTAGCGGTATGTCAATGCGGTCCAGTTGCTAATCACCGTCCTTGCCCCACTTGCATCCTGTGCCGTGGCTGCAGCAGGCACAGCACAAATGCTGTTCGGAGGAAGGCAAACCCACCTCAAAGCACAATCAGCACGACTGCAATGCCGAGTTGACTCTACAATGGAACCTCGCCCGATCTGAAACTAGTGTCCTGCGCAAAGGTGTCATACGCGCTACAAACTCATCAGGAGAGCCACTCTCTTTAGCTCATCGAGCATGCAGAGATGTGCTGAGTATGCTGAATGGCTGCATTTGCCTGCTCCACATCAAGACTGCTCAGTCTCAGGATAAGAGACCGCATCTGGGTGAACTGTAGTTGTGCGACCAGCTCAAGAATGGATAATTAGCCCCAAAGATCCCTGACCGAAGATCCCATAATGAACAAGACTGGCCTTCCTGCCTTGTGAAACCCTTTGTTGACACACCAGTTTCTCATGGGACTAAATGGTAATTCAAAGGTGCTCGTCGCTGGGGCTTTTGAAGCTCGAGTTCATTTGCTGCATTGCTCCATGCCTGAGCATAGGTGGCCGTCACTCTTCTGGCAACCCCATGGGACGAGATCAGCTACCGTCCCCCAGACTACCATGGAACCCCATATAACCCTTTTTTGCAAGATCGTTGCTTTCATAGGACCCTCTTGGAGGTGACCCACGCTTTTCTGGCTTCTGAGATCGGACTGTTGCTGACTGTTCCTTATGCGCGTACTTGCTGTCAGGGACTACCACCATGTACCCCCTTGTGGACAGAGCTGATAATGTTGACCTCATACTAATCCGTGCGCAATTGCAAAATCCAATCTGCCAAAACGCAAAAATTGGACGCGCCGACAGGGCAATGTGTTGCGGGCTAGTACTACTATTGGCTACAACGACTGGAGCTCCAGCTCATGGACCCGGATACCCTTAATCACAGATGGACGGGCTCACATCCTGGGGTGTGGGGGGGGTCAACTTATGAGGTGAACATTACTCTCTATGGCCTCACCATATCCGAGTCCATGAGTACTGCTCGGAAATCCCCCAAGACAATAATGCCACCCAAAAGAGCACTGTTCATGAACCGTCATACTCCGTTTCAGTGGCCGGCTTTTCCGAAGGCGTACTTGACTGCATGCAGTGAAGATTGTTTGCTGCAAATTCTGAATGCTGAGCAGGCTCGCCCGCGTCAGGCGAGCTAGCTGCGGCGATGCAGTAGCCGCAGCTCTGCGGGAAAGGTATGCGATGGCATGTGTCTATCTTCTTTGATCCCGGTACCCTCACAACAACGGAGCCATGCACTGTAACCAGACATTTTCATGTGTACCATGTGGATGATGTCAAACTTTTGCTGGGACGACCGTAAGCTTTTTCACTGACTATCCTGGCAAGACTACGGTTTGACTTACTCTCAAAACTCACATCAGTTGTGTAGGCTTCTGTACTACGGTGGTTACTTTCGGATAAGATGCGGAGGTCCAGTCCCGAGCAGCGCAGCATCGCAGACTGCCGAGTCCAAATGCTTCACCACCTCGTGCTATGGGGTTCATCAGCCGGCAGATGCTACCAGGAGGTGAGGTACCCAGGTTAGGCAAAACACCTCATGAGCAAAGCGGACAACAAAGCAGCAGAAGTCAGGATGGTCAGAACGATTTGCCACCCATCTCTGAGGGCAGTGAGCTTGACAATCCATGGCTCACTTGCGAACATCCTGGAAGTATTGCTGGCCTCCTACGTGCGTGGCACGAGAAGTGCTCAATGGGACTCATGAAACCTTCGCTAGACCTCTGCAAGAGCTGTGCAGGACGAGGCCGCTGTTGCTCTGTTGCCCTCGTCGTGGAACCGAACTTGCAATACCATGTCCTCGTGCAGCAAGATGTTGCAGAAACAAACCAGGCTTGGCATGCTGACGTCCCTGTTACTACTTGGCACTTGCAAGCACTCAAGCAACACACGGTTGGGTGGTCACTCAGCAACGACACCCAATAAGAAATGACGTGAGAGCGATAAAGTAAGGTGCTCCATGAATATGTAGGAAGTGTTGGACACATATTAGATTATACAAATCTTTTCTAGCTTGGAGATGTCGGAGAGCTTCCTGCACTTCCCGGTAACGCGCAGCTCCTAACGCCAAATATGCTGATGCTCACAAAACACTGGCGGAAACAAGATCTTGTTTGCTTCTCGGGTCCTAGAGCTGCGGCTCAACTGCAGGCTTCCAATCTTCCTTTCTCTTCAAATCTACATTCCTGCTAACCCTCCCCCCACACCCATGATTATGAGAAAGCCTTGACAAATGGTGGCTGAGTTAATGGCCGTCTGGTTGCGAAGTCGCATGGCGGGAGCCAGCAGAAGCAGCCGGTGATCAGGCTCAGGTGTCAGGAGCTGGGCCACCACACTTCCTTCATTCAAAATTGCGGTAAAAGCCATCCCTCGGCTCTCACATGATTGATTTCTTCATTCAAGACCGGACCGTGATTGCAGAATAGTGAAAAGCACGATGTTCACATTCCGTTTGGGTTCTACATAACCTATGAGGGAGCTGCTGATCGCCCTGAGGATTCCGCAGCCAAACAAAAGCCGAGCTTTCTTTGCTCGTCTATGTTCGGCCCAAGTAGCCTGCGCAGTCTGGCACAAGAACCGATGCATTCTGCTCGAACCAGAGCGGCTCGGAGACCTTTTCGGAGCCCAGGACCCGCACGCGCAGGCTTTGCCTTACGACTACTTGACAGTCATCACATTTATTTCAGAGAAACTGGTGAAGCAAAGATGACAGTCGCACGCCATCCGTCGCTTCAAGTGGCAGCAATTCTTGAGACAGGTAAGCCACAACGTGAGCGCGCTGATCTGCTCGTCCAGGGCCACCCACTGAGAGCCAGATGGCTGAACCACCACTTTCACTGAGGAATTTCCTGAAGCTTTAGGATTTCTTGCGAGGTTCTGGGTTGGTAGGGAATGAAAAAGAGACTGGAAGCGCCGTAGCGCTCTGGGGTCTAGGGTTGAACAGCTGGGACGCATGTAGCATACTGGTAAGATCCACGGTTTCTACGGGAAACCTACGACTGTAAGGTCACAAGCCGAGGGTCGCGCACCGCTGCACAGGACCTCCAGCGCTCCGCCCCATAGGCTTAGCACACGGAGCTTTGTAGCCACTGCGGCCGGGGAGTCTGCCGCATGCCTAGGAAGCTCACAATTCAGAATGCTTGGTGGTTCGTCATGGCTAGGCTTAAGCATACCCACCTCTAGGGCACACCTTGTTTTGGGGGACCCCATTTCTATTGGAAAGCTAGATGCTGAAGCCTGACTTAGCCAGAATCAATCTCTACCAAGGATCCTCTTGTCGGCTTCCTGCGATTGCGGCGGCCTCCCGATAAGCAGCAAGGTACCAAGCTATAAAACAAACAATTCCAGCAGCAAATGCTACGGAGCTTTGCTTCACTAGATAGCTTGACCAAATCAGCTTGCAGGCTTGCAAGGGTTTCGAAGCACACAACTCACAACTACTCAGGATAGTAGTTTCCATTTTCTATTCCATTCCCTACATAATCCCTATAAATGTAAACCCTGTATAACCCTCTCATTATCCCCATATAACCCAAATTTGATTTCTACATTCTGATTCGTTCATTTTTTTGGCCTGAGGCTG